ATCTATCTATCTATCTATCTATCTATCTATCTATCTATCTATCTATCTATCTATCTATCTATCTATCTATCTATCTATCTATCTATCTATCTATCCATCCATCCATCCATCCATCCATCCATCCATCCATCCATCCATCCATCCATCCATCCATCCATCCATCGGGTTGGTTAAAACTACAGTGAGTCAACAGTGCCATCTAAAGGCCAAATTAAGTTTCTCTTTATGATGAAATGAAACTAAAAGTAGAACCCAGTTGCGTTTTCTTTTCGTTTCGAGTCCAGTGTCAGTGACAGTATATAAGGGGTTTGTTTACTGTGCCTTTTAACTCCAGCTGCACTTCACTTTCTTTTCATCGGACAGGTGAGGAGGGACCATGGAGTCTGCGAGCGACGAAATCCAAGAACGTCTCATTGAAGGCTTTAGGTTGAGGCTGGAAAAAAACATAACAGTGGCGCCGACTCTGAACCATTTGGCGTTCATTCAGCCCGAGGAAAAAGAGCAGATTATACAAAAACTGAGGTCGGACGGCGAGATATGTGCTGCCAGGCTGCTGATCACCGTGGTTCTTAAAAAGCCCCACAGTGAGGGCTGGTTCAGGGCCTTCGTGGACGGTTTAATACTCGGGGGTTCGGAACTTGCTGCCAAGTATTTGGAGTTAAACCCCCCGAGCCCTGATGTGGAGGAGGAGAAYGATTACTGCGTAAAGCTTATTCAGATACTGGCTCCCGGTCTTGAGACCATGAAGACAGAAGAAGTGTGTGCCGAATGTTTCTCCAGCGAGATTATCACTGAGGATGACAAGGAGAAAGTAAGTGTAATTTACAGCCAGTGTTTGAGTGGGCTGTCATAAACTGCTGAGTCATTCAGGAGCAGGGGCGCAGCCAAGGGGGCGCAGGGGTGGCAGTGGCCCGTCTTCCATGCGTAATTGGTCTGTTAGCAAAATATCTCATGAACCACTGGGCAGATTTTACATGATTTAACTCAGAAAGTAGCTTAATCTTTAGATGCATGGAAACCTGAATGTATGAAAAATAATAGTGGGAGCAAAATTTGTCATGTTATGTTTGTTTTTAGAGTACGTAATGGTCCTATGTCAATAGGCTGTCATACTCAAACATTATATAAAATTTACTGTATTTCTATAGTAAGCCACATTTAACTCAACCCAAAAAAAAAAAAAAAAAAACTATGAACCTGTAAGAAAAGCATAGCTAAAGTATGCACAGGAGGCAAATTCAGATTAGACTTGAACATTTWATTGCAAAAATATAAAGTCATACACAACTTTCAGCTGGACCAAACACAGAACGCATTTGTTTGTCTGTTGTTTACTGTGAGGCGTGTTTTAACTAATTTCCCCCTTAAAATTAAAGTCCATTCTGAGTTGACCCAGAATAAAAATAAACTAATTGCACAATGATTATAAAATATTAAAAACATCTTAAACAAAAATGTGTATATTTAAAAATACATTTAAGACACAATCTACATGTTACAAATTGATTAATAATTCTGCTTTGAAAACTTTCTGGAGGCACCCCTGTTTAGAAAAGATGGTGATTAAAGTGGATAACATAGGCTCATCATGGTCACAATATACAGTATGTGTTAACATAAATGTATTTTTTAAGTCAACATGCGCTTTCTTTTTAAGTACCACTAGATGGCAGTCAAACACACTCCTCTGTCAGGAAGCTTTTGAGACAACACTTCTCTCTCATTGCATGRCAAATCATCTCCAATTATTGTCTCCCAAAATCTAGATTTTAGCTGAAACAAGAAACAAAGGATCACGGAGCGGAGCCTCAGAACTTCTGAGGAGAATTGTGAAACGCCCCCCTGGATGGTTCTCGACATTTCTAGATGTTCTGCGTAAAACTGAGCACAAGCACCTGTATGAGCTGACCGGAGGATCACCTGAGTGTGGTGAGCGTCTGACTGCTCGAGCACACATAAAGTTAATTAATATAATTATAACAATATATAATTTAGATGATACAAGTTATATAATAATAAACATAACATTTTAATGCAGTCAGAACAAATGTCATAATTCACAGTAGATCAAACTTTATCTGATCCACGGTTTTGTTCTTATTTGCTTATTTGTCAGAACCATGTGAGAAATCACTGAATGGTGAGCCTGCAGTGGAGACCAAGGAAATCCGTTTCACTGAGGAGCCTCAGGATGATCCCACAGGTCTGACTTGGGTTCTTTCACTATATTGGTTATTTGGTAGGAAATCTTGATTTAATATGAATCTATTACATTTACCACACTAAGTCAAGATTATGGACATTTGCATCATGTCAAAGGAACTGTACTCTTTGATCTCTGTTGAAACTGAGTTTAATTCTCACCATCTTGACAAGCTTATGGCTAATCCAAGCAGAGCCATGACCATAGTGGATTGCTGCCATCTTAAAATAAAACTTCAGAGTGGTTTTCACAAAAGTACACTTCAAAGTATATGAACTATCCCTTTATAATTTCAAAATACATTTTAAAACTCAGCAAAATTTTATTAAAGACATTAAACAAATATAAAATTTCCCCAAAGCATAAAAAATAAATTCTTAGAAATACATTTTGTAGATGGATGGATGGATAGATAGATATTATGCATAGCTTATAACTTAGAAATGGTTTTCATTCTTTTCTCAAATGCAGTACAAGCTTCATAAACTTTTGCTTTTTATAGTTTATTTAATTTGACACTTTACATGCTTCAGTGCAGAATAAAATTATATAATTTGTCTTTGATGAATGTATTTCAATTCAAACTTTTATTGTTATTTTTGTTTTTCAGATCTGTATGCCAGTGCTGACATGCCAGAAAGCACGGACGCCTCAAATCCAGGTGGGACTTTGTTACTAATCCGAAGGAGTCTGATTTCATTCAGCCATGGTAGATTATTTGAAAATTCATGGCTCAAATGCTTTTTAGAAAAATGTACTGTATATTGGATCTGTAGTAATTTTCCAAAGGCTGAATGAAACTAGTTGGAGCATTAGTATGGAATATTTCTATAACGACAATAAATAAGTTCCATGTGTGAACTGTGAAAAACCAAGGGGAGGTCGAAGAGGACAGAACATTGTGGGGCTTCAAATGAAAACCACATGCTGACTCTGTATTAGCAGATCGTAAAGGAATCTGTGAAGAGCAGCCCTCCTCCCCACCTCAGGGCTTATATAGCCCCTTTGGGGGCTTTGGAAGGGGAGGTTTGTGGAACTGATCAGCAGTCCATCATTCACGTGCTCGCATTCAGTCCTAAGGTCCATTTAGAGTAACTTCCTTTTTTTTATTACTCTGAATGATTTTGAACTGTAGGATGAAACTCTCAAAGGCACAGGTACATTAAGCCCCAGGAAAGTTTTGAGATTTGTTACACAGAAAAGTCAAAAGGAGATTTGTGAGGACTAACAGAACACGTGTGTGATATCAGCCTACATGGGAGGTGAAGCTTGTGCAGAATGATCAGTACGTTCTCTGAACTGAACAGACTTCAGCTCATAAATTAGAATGAGCTGATTGTTTTCCAAGTTAATAATTATGTGTGGGAACTGCACGGTAAAGATTGTAGACCTCCCCCAGAACAAATTTCTTCTTGTTAAAGCTCTATCTCTCCCATCAGCACATACTGGTCTTAGGCTAGTTTCTCCTCTGGCATGCCGGGTCTGAAAGGAAAATTAAAAGCTGTCTGCACACAGGAAAAAGAAAAAAAATCTGTGGTTTTGAGCTCATAACTGAAAGAGAAACATGGAACTCATATGGGTAGCTGGAAAAAGGGGGAACATCATGCATTAGTCATCTATTATCCTGACTCTAAACAGATCAAATGCGTTCACTGTCTGCCAGCAGCTTTATATCTGACTTATGTGGGATTATAAGACGTCTTGTGTGCCGCAGAATAAGGCATAATTGTGTCAAAAATCAAGGAAAATCAAACTGAAGTGTTGTGATAAACTTAATCACATTTCAATGCTTGCTTAAACTCGTTTTGCAAAATCCAGTTCTTGTTTGATTTTATATTTTGAATGTAATCTTAGAGTTTTGCAAAAAAGTGCAAACTGAAGATTTTGGACTTTTTATTTGTTCTTGAACAATATTATGTTGTTCTCTTAGGGCTGGGCAACTTAACTAATAGAAGGGGCCACTATTTTGTTGTTGACACTACCAGAGGGCCACATAGCCCTGCACATGTCCCCCAATGTAATAAAACTGCCATTCTAAAAATGTTTGTATACTATATGTTTATTAAACCAACATATAGTGCAGTAACTTCACGTATGTCATGCTCAAATGCATGCATAACCGTTGTTCTCTTGTTTAAAAATATGAATACAGGTTATTTGAAACAAAAAAAATGAAAACGTATTCATAGCATAAGACACCTTGAGTGCAGACTCCTGCATGGTTATGCTTATGGTAAAAAGTCTGTGGCAATTTCAGTAAAATTCTCATTTAGCTTTGTGCAACATGTTGTAGTGGCGACTTATGTTAAAATCCTTTATGGCAGACGATGTCTGTATGCAAACTAAACAGAGAGGTTTGCCTTGAAATTCTGTTACCCCCATCCACCAAGAAAGTTAAAAAAAAGTTTTTGGCAAGCCAGATGGAAGTCACCCGCGAGTCGGATGTGGCCTGGGGGCTGCCGGTTGCCCTTCCCTGGTCTATTAAGAGAAAAACGTACCATATTTTCTCTTACTCACTTGATATTGCATTAAACTCAGGCTAACCAGGAAATGTGTATGTGTATATATTCTTGTCTTTTCCTAAGAAGACATTCCATCACAGTTTGTAAATGTGGTCTTAGCTTTTTTTTCTGTGCTTTTCAAATTTAGGTGACTTAGGAGCAGCTGCAGCAGCAACTAAAAGCCCTGAGAAAGCAGAAATCACTCTCTGGGATTATCAGATGGAAGTCGCTAGACCTGCCTTGGAGGGGAAAAACATAATAATATGCCTCCCGACAGGAAGTGGTAAAACCAGAGTCGCGGTGTACGTTACTAAGAAACATCTGGACAGCAGGAGGGAGGAGGGGAAACCAGGGAAGGTGATCATCCTGGTGAACAAGGTACTACAATGAGATTATGATTCATCTCTAACCCCTACGGTTAATTTTAGAGCCAAAGAAAACATTAAAGTTAATTTTGTAAATGTGGGTCAGCCCACCACGACTYAATGCCACAAGATTAAAAAATTCCACTGAACTTTGTTTCTATTTGGCTAATATAGTTCTAGATTGAAGAAATCCCATTTGGAGAAGAAACTTTTGTTTTTGTACGATCATGCTGTAAGAGTTTGCTGAAGACAGTTTACTGGAGCATTGTTCAATCCAGAAAGCAACACAATAATTACTTGATTAGCTGTGTTTGTGCAGAAAAGGGGCGTCTGCTTCTTTTGTAAACAATGTGCAAACAAAAGTCCTCTGCACCATTTACACATCTAATTTAAAGCCTTTCCTTAAACAGTCAAGTAGAGCTCTGAACATATTTAGCTGCGGTGGGTGTTGCAAACAAACAACTCCTTAAATTATCAGGAAGTCTGCACTAACAGAGACATAGTCTTGTCTTCAGATTCAAAGGAATTGATGCTAGAATGCTCTTGTTTTCTTCCAGATTCCTCTCGTTGAGCAGCATTTCACCACTGAGTTTTCGCCWTATCTAAAACCCAAATACAAAGTGGAGAGAGTCAGCGGAGACTCCCAGCTCAAAATCTCTTTTGCCAAGACTGTGCAGAGAAATGACGTCCTCATCTGCACGGCTCAGATTCTGGAAAACTACTTGGAGAGGGCTAACAGTGGAGAGGATGAAGGGGTGAAGCTGAGTGGTACGATTTTCCACATGAACACACTCAAAACATTTAAGCACATTGCCATTTTTTTTTTCATAATTTGATCAGAAAGTATAATTTCTTATTGTATAGTTTAAACCATAGTATTGTTTTTGTAACAATTTCTACAAAACATATTTTACAAGTGCAGTACATACTGTAGGATCCTGTATAAATTAGAGGCCTTCAAATGCTTACAGGACTCTTTAGATGACTTAGTTTGTATTTGCATTAACTTTTGAATAACAGGCTGATCTGTTGAAGAAATATAAGACTTGACAGAATAAATAGCCATATAGAAACAAACAAGATGATCTAATAAAGTGCAACTGAAAATCTGACAACATGAGTCAGGCATGCAGGTGGGGTAAATAGAAACCAGGACTAAAATGGGCAGAGACGGGTAGAGCGGGAAACAAAACTGAAACCAAGAAAAGGGAAACTCCACAATGATACGATACTAAAAGTAAAACCTAAAGCAAAGCAGTGCTAAAACAAAAACAAAACTCCAGGTTTATAAAAAAGGAAACTGAGATCCAAAGCAAAAAACACACTGTGTATGAAAAGCATGTGTTGTGACTGATTAAGATTTATGTTGAAATTAAACCCAAAATAAAAATTAAACTTTATTTCAATGTTAAAATTCCAGTTGGTGTCCATGACAATATGAAGACATGCCTTCAAATGTGCAAATGGTTATTACATCTCCAGTGTTTTTAAATGTTTGCTAAAATCTGCTTGGATGTCACTTCGAACGCTGATGGGTTCTGGAATAGAAAGCCTCCCCAGAGGACTCGGAGCAGGATTTCCCCCGACGGGATCCTGTCAAAGTCTTCCGACTCTGGTGCTCACTCTTGTTGGCAGTCACCAGTCCAAGGTGGAATAGCCACCTCAGAGGAACATATGCTGTTTGTTGAAAACACTTCRAAATCATCTACAGGCCACACGTCTGTTCAAGGCATCAGCCTGTGGCTGATCAAATTCACCCGAGAGCCTCCATCACAAAACATCAAGCTGCCACTTCATCTTCATTCCCCCTCCTGAGACAAATTGAAACATGTCATTTAAACGTGGATAATTTTATTTTACCTTTTGCTTTTGCTTTGTGCAAATCATCTGAATTCCTTTTTAAAAGCAAAAGTTTAAATCTTCTAAATTATGTGGAAAAGTTAGGAACAAATGATATATAATGAGCCTGGAGTACTTCTGGTA